TATATATATATATATATATATATATATCAATGATTGAAGGCTATTGTACGAGCTATGATTATCCTTCGTGCGTCAAACAAATCCAATGTCACAATCTAAACACGGGGTTATCGAACCCCAAACCAGAGGGGACTTACAACTGACAAATAGATATCCGACCAACTTATTTGAGACACAGAGCCAATTGACGGCGCGGAAGCGAGAAATCATACGTCAAACTTTCCGAGCACTCTTACAATGACGGTGGCACTCTTTGGGACAAATGTCTTCCCGGTATCAATATATATATATATATATATATATATTCTTGGTTCATCACTATTCTGCTCCCCGAATTAATAACCGTCTGATTTTAATATATACTTAAAAAAAATATACATCATTTGAATCTTATAAAAAAAGTACATCATGAAAATAAAAAGTGCTTTAAAGTTTAATATTTTTGGAATACGAAAATTGAAATCAACTAAAAATAGGAAGACGACTGATGCAACACAAATAATATTTCATTATCCTACATGATTCTTTAGGCTTGACACATATATCAAGGTGATTTTTTGAGCAAAAAAATATTCAAACTTTTATAAAAGTCATCTAGAACTTTAACTTCAACAAACTTACAATCAAAACGATAGACTCAACAAGACGATCCAATGATACTAAAATTCCTCCAATCTGAGTCGCATGAAGCATTGATCAAGCCATTAAGCCATTGTTAAAAACATTCCGAGCACAATTGGAACGCTATACTTATTATGAATGTGGCAAGTATAAAGTTAAATAAAACATTTTGATAAGAAATATCTTGCGGGCTCTAGGGCAATCAATTACGATATTATTAAGGCACTCAAATGTTCATCGATCTTCATCTGATTAAAAAGATCTCTCGTGCTCGTTTTATCATAGTGGTATGAATTTATTTCTTATTTGCAACATAGACTTTATAACGAGTGCTTCCCCCTCTAGAGAAGGGAACTATATCTTCAGAAAGAGAGAGGCTAGAACCTAGAGAAAATGAAGCAGAACCCTAGAATGATGCATCGACGATCCAACTAACACCTTTTGCTCTTACAACCCCCAACCACCAATGACCACTGGTCACCGGTCGCTGCCACCTACCTCTATTACCCCCCGCCACATCGTCCTGCAGTCGACGACCGCGGCTCGCTGGCCAACGTCGACCACCACCGATAGGTGTTGCGACGAAGCATAGTGCCAAGCAACAATTGACGTCGTTGAATAACAAAACAACCTACAAAGCAACACATCATCCCAAATATTATTGCGACCTCGAAGACGATGCATTGAAGATTCAACAATCACTCACTGCTGCGACAACTCCTTACCTCAGAGCAACATGTTTTTCCACGTACCGACGTTGCAACTTGAGAAATTATTTTATTATTTCCCGCTCATGAAATTTTGTTTGTAATCAACAACTCATACTAAAATATTTCAACTAGGTTAAACTTTGTGATTTTGTTTCTTTTCTTATTTTTTTTAAAGTAAAAACTTCAAATGTCACTATTGATTATCTTTTTTTCATTTAAATGTGTAATATATTCTCGCAGAATTCTAGACCCATAAATTATTACTCTATCTTCATGAATTTTCTCGATCGCATTAAAAATAAATATAACATTGATTAATGATTATTCACGCATTATAATTTTCTTAAAAAATTATACTTTCCATTTAAAATGCACACTGACATATGGTGTGCATGGAAGTGTCAATGACCAATGACGCTGATTGATGAGAAAGGAATAAATAAAAATAAAGCCAGCGAAGAAGCTGCCTCATACTGCGGAAGGGGAACATAATAATGCGGAGGAAGCCAGAAAGGGCGGGGAAGCATGATAACATACGTCAAAACTTTCTGGCCACTCTTAGGGCCTGTTTGGCGCAGATGATAACATACGTCAAAACTTTCTGGCCACTCTTATACTGAGCGAGCTGGCGCTTTAGGACAAAATTGAGCTGTTCGGACTTTGTCTAAGTGGGTCGGTGGTTTTGTTTTTATTTGTTTTATTTTTGGCATTTAAGTATTATGCCAGTCTTTTCCTGTAGATTTATGTATCAAACTCCTGTCAGATGTGTGTTTATTGGTAAAAAGGAATTTTAGGGTTTATTTCTAACCAAAACTCATCTTTCTTTCTGCTCATTCGTTGCTAGTGAAATCTTTTTTCTCATGAACGCCATTGAATCTAATTAACACCAAACAACGTAAATCTTCCATGTTTGATTGTTGTTGTATGAATTTCTGCACTTTCACATTATTTTTACATTAAAAACTTTAATTTTTGCATTTATACCACCAAAATCTCCTTTATATATATATATATATATATATTAAAATACTATATAAAAAATCAATATAAAAGAGGCATTAGAAAAATTATTAGTTAGTTGTATCAAATAAAATTGAGCAGACAAATTTTTATTTGTGTTAGGCTTGTTTATAAATCGAGCTAAAAAATAATTCATGTTCAGCTTGTTTGCTAAACAAATCGACTCGAATACATGCTATTTAATTAATGAGCACGAGTTATTGGCAAATGACAATTTTTTAAAGAGTAAAAAATTAAATAAAAAATATTTTAAAATTTATTTATTGATTCGTATTTATCAGTTTAAGATAGCCGATATTTGTCATTTACAAATAAACCATGTTCTGTTTAGAGCCGTTGGCCCCAATCGCCTCGCTGACGTAACTGCAAACATCATCGCTGCACACGTGTCCCTCTCTATACATCAAAACCGCAGTCATTCAAGCACGTGCACGCTACACGTGACAAAAATCAAACAATAAAAAATAATATTAAAAAGAAAATTCCCGCGGGTCAACCGTCTCAAACATTTTCTTCCCCAAACCTATAAATCCCTTCTCTCTCCCCGCCCCTGCTCTCAAATTCTTCCAACAATTAGCTTACAATCAGCTCATGGAAGCTCCACCGCCTTCAATCAGTTCCCGCCGCCTCTCCTCGGACCAAGAAAATTCAATCATGGTCAACGCATTAATCCACGTCATCTCCGGCAACCCCGACGCCGCAGCACCACCAATCTCCATCCCCGTCGGCGGCGATCTCCCTCTTTGTCAATTATGTGGAAGAGGGATTGAAGGTTGTCTCGGCTGTCATTTTTTCGAATCATCGGCCACCATCACGGCAGAGGTCGCCGGAACTGTAGTACGAAAACGGAGGCGGGAGAAGAAGAATCTGTATCGCGGTGTGCGACAGAGGCCATGGGGGAAATGGGCGGCTGAGATTCGCGATCCGCGGCGAGCTGTTCGCAAGTGGTTGGGAACATTCGAGACGGCCGAGGAGGCTGCGAGGGCATACGATAATGCGGCAATCGAGTTCCGCGGAGCACGGGCTAAGCTCAATTTTCCCTTTCCTGATCAAATTTTGATGGGGCGACGAAACGAGGTAGGGATGGACTCGACGCCGGCGACGGGGGTGGCGCGGGGGAGTGGAGAGGATATGGGCGGGTTTTGGGATGGTTTGTCGGAGCTGGTTAAGCTTGATGACGTAGAGCAGAACGGCAATTGGATGATGATTGGACACTTTTGATTTTCTATTTTTTTTAATTTAATAATTCTTTTATTTTTTTTTCCGGGGTTTTTATTTTCTTGGAAGAAGATAGTTACAGTGCTAAAATTGTGATTATTAATTTTATTTTATATGTGCACTTACTGTGCAAATTTTTGTGAAAAAAACTGTAAATTTGAATTTTGTTTATTAATGATTATTTTGCTATTGTTTCTAATCATTATTATTATTATTATTTTCAAATGAAGGTAATATTCAAAATTTTAAAAATTTGGATTAAACGGAATAATGACTGTTTAAATATGGATTAGCTCAAATAAGCTCTTCCTCCTGGGTTATTCAGCCATAGTAAGAAGATCCAAGGGTCCAAGGCTGCTTTCCCAATTTAGCATGGACAAAAAAAATCTCTTATACCATTTTTAGGTGAAAAACCAGACCACAGGAGAATGACTAGTAGTCTTGGCCGCCTTCCCGGAGGGAATCGGGGACCAGAGGTCTATTTTTGCAAAATGGGTTCAAGCAACGTGGCCACGTCGAGCTTAGGCATGATCACGCCACAGTTCGCAGTGTCGCAAATGAGGGACTGGCGTGGCCACGCCTGAGGCCTTACGCAATTACACTGTAGGCTTTATTTGGTCGGCATGGTCACGCCGTCTTCGGGCATGGTTAGGTCGATTATAGCTCATTTGGGGTGTCTTGGGTGGTCATGGGGTGGCCACGCTCGGTTCAAGCCTGGTCACACTGCTAACTAGGTGTGACCATGCCTAAATTAGGCATGACCACGCAAGACTCCAAGAAAATTATGGTTTTGGAGAAGCTCGTCAAGGGAGTTTCGGGCCTCATGGGGCCTCCAGAGGATAGAATGTGAGTAACTTATGACCTTTAGACCTACGTAAGGATTGTAAATGCGTATCAAAAGAGTTTGAGAGGTTGAACAGTCTGAGTATCGTTGAGCAAAGCGGTTCCACCATGAAATTCGTCTATCCGGAACTTGGACTAAGGGTTTGAGCAAGGTACGAGGTACTCTAGACAACGGTTTGCGCGAATGCCCATATCAACAAAATACAACCTTGGGTTATAAGAAATGAGTTGTGATGCAGAGGATACCAGAGACTATGTCGATCTGATAACAATCGATTCAAAGCACTATTGTAACGGTGTAGACTCCCAATTGTAGTGTTGTGTTCTTCAACAAAGATGTTCCGTACGTGTCACATTAAAAAATAGACGCCAACAACAGCTGTAAACAAAATATGAAATAAATATGCCTTTGAAAGGGTTGGATGAGCTATAGTTGCACACAAAATTAGAAAGAGATGCCTTAATAGACTTAGCCATCTTTGACATTCCTAACAACAATATGATGTTAAATGGTTTGATTTCAATCCGACCGAAGATATTTCGAAAGAAATTCAGTCAAATTAATTTTTGAGCGACTGTCATTGTTCATTTAATAAATCAGGATTTACTAGACCAACTTATTAGTTGGTTTAACGGATTTATCCCACAAGCTTCAACTCTCTAAATCCTTTAAATCCCACTTCCTACTTCTTTTGGTAAATCCCAGATTTAAGGCAATAACAGAGCAAAAACGGGATTTAAGAACCTATAGGATTTACAAATGCATTTTCTGTCGTTTGGTAGGATTTAGCTTAAATCCTACATAAATCATGTACCAAACACCTCTTAATTAAACTCTTTCTTTAGGGTTTGTTTGGTTACAAGTAGGATTTAGTTTGAATAAGATTGAGTAAATCCTATAAAACCGGATTTATAAAATTTTGAAGGGGTTAAATCTTGAAAACTGTTTGGTATGTTACTATGCAAATTCTAATAAAGTTTTTTGTGACTTTAATAAGATTTACTAAATCCCATAAGCTTTAGATTCTCTATAATAAAAAAATGAGTCTTTATCTCTACTATGTGGGGTCGGCTATATGATTCCTTTTTCTCCATTGCGTCATATTGAGAGTCATATTGTGATTAAATTCTAATAAATTAAGGTCATTTTTTTGTACAACATGCTTGAGTCTTTGTAGGTGACATATCTTTGTCTTTCTTAACATAAGTCGAATCTAAAACATCTACTCTCCTAACTAGTTCATCATATAGTCAACGTTTAATGTGTCCAAACCATCTAAGATGATTCTCTTTAATTTTGTCCGCCACAGCAGCTGCACCAACTCTATTATAGATATACACATTTTGTATATTGTCTCTAAGTGTAAAACCACTCATCTACCTAAGCATTCTCATCTCAGTATCATTTAATTTTATTATACTTTTTTAAAGGCCAACATATTGTGTCATAGAGCATTGCAGGTCTCACCATCAACTGCAACAAGCCTTTAACCAACTAACTGGGGTCATCTATATGAATCCTTTTTCTCCATTGCGTCCTATTGAGCATTATATTGTCAGTTAATTCTAAAAATTTAAGATCATTTTTTATTTAATATGACCAAATTCTTCTAGGTCTACCTCTATCTTTCTTAACATAAATCGAATCTAAACCATCTACTCTTCTAACTAGATCATTAGATATTAATGTTTAATGTTACCAAATAATCTAAAATGACTCTCTAATTTTGTCCACCACAGGAGTTACACCAACCTTTTTATGGATATATTCATTTTGCATTTTACCTCTAAGTGTAAATCCACTCATCCACCTAAGCATTCTCATCTTAACAACACTTAACTTAATTGTATGCTTTTCTTTTAAAGGCCAATGTTATGTGTCATAGAGCATTGGAGGTTTTACCACCATCTTATATAATTTTTCTTTCAGTCTAAGCATTACTTTTCTATCACACAATAGACAAGAAACATTCTTCACTTCAACCAACTAAATTGAATTCTACCAATAGTGTGACGCGACGTGTTAAATTGGGCTCATAAATTTTGACACAAACCAATCTCAGTATGTTGTGGTGGATCCACTTGACACGTGACGCTTCATCATTGAACTTCGAACTTAGGGTCCGTTTGGGGCAGCTTATAAGTGCGGGCGGCGTTTTCAAAACCCCGCCGAACTGTTTGGTTCGCGTGTTTCACCAGCTTATCCGAAACAACGTTTGAATTTTTACACTAAAAGCAGGCCGCGAGTTGACTCCTGCTGTCGGCCCGCGGGCCACGTTTCAGGATAAACAGCTTATCCTGAAACGCACAAACTGCCCCAAACGGACCCTTAAATTAACTGAGTGAACCGATGTAATATTTGCTCTTACAACACCCAAATCCCGAGATATCTAAGGCCTTCACACTTTAGAAATATCCATTGGAAGAATATCAACAGCAAAAAGTAATTTTATACCGCCGTCAGATTCCTTGGTAGAAAGCCCTCTTTTTCTTCCAAATGAGCGCCGGCGGCAAGGATTTAGGCCAGGTGGAGCGGAAAACGTTCGCACCGTCCTATGATTTCACCTGACCTTCGTTATCGGCTGCTGCTGCAGAGACGGCCACCTTCCCCATAAACATGATCAAGACCAGGCTGCAGCTCCTAGGCGGCGGGGCCTACTCTCGCTGCCTCCCACAGACGGCAGCAGGATCAGGTCTACGGGTCGCATTTAACATATGGAGAACGGGAGGCGTATTAGGGTTTTACGATGGTCTGGCTCCCGCTGTTCTCCGCCACCTATTTTACACGCCGATCCGCATAGTCTGCTACGAGAATTTGCGGAACCTCGCTGGCTATTCTGTTGCCGGGAGAGCTTTTGCTGGTGGAGTCTCTGGCACCATAGCACAGGTAATTTGTGGAGACACGTCTGATTTCATTTTAAATTTGAAGATGGCTGACTCTTGAGATTCTGATTTGCGTTCGCGTGGTTTCGATAAAAGCGGTATTCAAGCTGTTCTTGATCGAAAGGATGCGGTCTTGGTACTTACAGCAGTGTGACGGGTTGATGGGATTGTGCTTTAAGTGTTTGTTTAATTTACTGATGTCTTCTATATAATTGCATTTTAAGGTATCAGAATTTAGTAAATTCCATAAAACCGGATTTACTAAATCCCCAAAGGGTTGAATCCGAAGCTTGTCTGCTAACGAACTGTCTTGTTAATGGATTTATTAAATCCTGTAAATCCAGAAAACCTTTTGGCAATTTCTGCAAGGATTTAGACACAGTCGGAAGCCTACGAAGTTAAATTCTAAGCCCCACAAAGTTAAATCCACAGATTCATGGGATTTATTAAATCCGGGATTTACAGCTGAAATCCACGGAGTCCAGATTTACGGCATGCGGGAATTTTTTTTGTCCAAAATGACCATCTTCTGACAGGATTCCGCTTAAATCTTGCATAAATCATGGGCTAAATCTGTTGCCAGACAGCCCCTTATTGTACAATGAATTAAAACAGACTAGAGATCAAGAGATTTTTATCAAGATCGGATTGTGCTGGTGTCATATTTGCTTATATTATGACAATGATCATTGTTTTTTTCTTGATGTTCTTGCACATAAAGCTCATTTTGTTCTCTTGGATACAGGTTCTGGCAAGCCCCGCTGACCTCATTAAGGTGAGGATGCAAGCAGATGGTCGCCTCGTCAGCCAAGGACTCCCTGGCAGATACACAGGAATCATTGATTCCTTCAATAAAATCATTCGAAATGAAGGTGTATTGGGACTGTGGAGGGGTGTGTTTCCTAATGCTCAAAGAGCTTTTCTGGTGAACATGGGGGAACTTTCATGCTATGACCAAGCTAAACGCTTCATCATCAACCATGAAATTTGTGAGGATAATGTTTTAGCACATACCATGGCTTCAGTTGCGTCTGGCCTCTGTGCAACTACCTTAAGCTGTCCAGCCGATGTGGTCAAGACGAGAATGATGAACCAAGCTTCATGCAAGGCGTGTGATAAAATTTATAGAACTTCTTATGATTGTTTGGTGAAGACGGTGAAGTTTGAAGGCATAATGGCATTGTGGAAGGGCTTCTTTCCCACATGGGCGAGGCTTGGGCCCTGGCAGTTCGTGTTTTGGGTTTCTTATGAGAAATTACGCCAAATTTCTGGATTTTCTTCATTTTGATAGAGATGGCAGGGTGGATTCAACCTATATTCTTTTCCAACATGGTTTGATTATGATCAGAAGCATCTAAGAGATTCAGTTGAAAAGGAGAAGAGTTGGTAAGTTTGTCGAGCTTTATGCTCATCATTATTAGTTTTTAACACTTACGATAATGTTTCATAGGATAATTTTCACTTTCTCTTACGTTGGTTGTTTAGAGTATGACGTGAAGTTGAATGCTAAGTCTTTCAATCTGATCCTTTATTTCAACTATTTTCTTGTCTAGGAGCTCTTAGGCATGTCAGCTGAATTTAATTTAAATACTATAATATAATTAAGTAAAATTTACATGCATATCACACAATTCTTATGGATTTACATATCTAACACCTAAAGTTTAAAATTAACATTTCTAACACTTGGCGTTAAAAAACTATGCATGAAAAATGTATATTTCTATTGAATCTGAGATTGTCCTGTGAATTACACGCAAGGGATAGAGCGTAGGACATGGGGAAGAGAGAAAGAGAGAGAAAGACAAGTGCTCTCATGAACAAAAAAATGAGTGAATTGTTTTATCTTTTATTCATGAAATGATTCTCTATTTATAGACAAAAGTAAAACAATTGATGCTACGTTTTTGCCCTTGTTAAAGTATGGTCTTTACAGATTATTCTAAGAATTATACCCTTGTTAAAGTATGGTCTATGTCCTTGCTGTTCTTCGGCTCGATCGCTTGGGCCAGCGAGGTGAGGCAGTTAATATTGTAGGTTGGTTTGATGGATAGGAACCATCTGTCAATGGACTATTTAGATAGGGATGACTGATTGGATTTTTAAAGATAGCCTGCGGGACTGATCCGGTCAATTGACATTAGCCGGCCGAACATATTAATCTAGCTGTCAACCCTCAGTTTTCGTCAGGGCAATTCCAACTGGCTGGGTAAAACTAGGTCATCGAGCAAAGGTCGAGTCGATGCAACCCAATTGGTAATTTTAGCAGATCCCGTTGAAGGTTGTCTCTAGCGTTAGGAGATGTCTCTCAGACGCATATTATGTGATCGGTTGAGATGACTTTTGACTAGCATGAACCTGTTAGTCTTCTGGGCCACCGGGTCATTTTTTGGTGGTCCGATCTTTGCCACATCATCTTTTCTTAGGCCGTTAGATTACCTCAAGATTTTTGCCGACACATTTTCTGTGTATAATTTTGCTTTGAAATGTTAATAATAGTGGTATTTTTGGTGCGATGTCAAAGATTTGAGTCTTATGCATGTAAATAAGAAAGTATAGGTGTCAGATATGTAATTATATAAGAATTGTGCGGTATGTATTATAATTAATCAAGGGGAGTTTTATTGATTAGCTATCACAATTTTATTTCATGACTTGTTTCTGCACTCCTTTTCTCATCGATGTTGGATACTTTCAATATAATTATCTTTTAGTTTCTAATTTTTAAAATTCAGAATAATGCAAAATAAACTGGAATGCTTAATTATTTCATTGATATGAACGAGTGTATAAATAACCCTTATAAGAATCCTATAATAGGAAAAATAATAAAAAAGAAACGATATGAAATAAAATATATATCACATGATATTTTCAATAATTAATTCATATTAATTATTAGGAGATATAGGAAATAACATAAAATAAGAAAACAAATAATTTTTATTCCAAGGAACTAAATATAAAATATGAAAGAAAATATCTCCTTATATTAAGGAAATAATTTATTCCTCATAACTTCTTATTGGAATAAATTATTTCCTATTATAATTCTTAACACTCCCCCTCAAGTTTGGAATGTATGTTAATAATTTTTAACTTGCTGAGTAGTGAAGAAAATTAGTCGTTTGGATTATCGAATTTGCTAGATTCAGGCTTGGCTGAATTTTAAGTTTTGTCTGCCATATATTTCGGTCTGTCGCGCTTCGGCACTCTTGGGCTTCGACACTCTAGGGCTTTGGCACTCTGAGGCTTCGACACTTTTGAGCTTCGACACTCTTGGGCTTCGACACTCTTGTGCTTCGGCATTTTCAGACTTCGACACTTTGAGACTTCGACATTTTCAGGCTTCGACACTCTCAAGTTTCGGCACTCTTTGGCTTCAACATTTTCAGGCTTTGCTGAATTTGCTTGATTCACGCTTGACTGAATTTTGAGTTTCGTAGGGAAATAGACAACCTACAGGAAAACTGACTTTTTGTTGACCGCGGTTATCGTTGGCTGCAAAGAAAACTTGTATATCACACCCAGTAAATTTTGCTGACAAAGAAAACAACAGAAGAAAAGACGACTGAAAACAGAGCTCCCCCTGACGCTTGGGCCAGGGAAGAAAAAAATACTGCAAGAGAAATGACCGGAAACGCAACTCCCCCTGACGGTTGGGCAGGGAAGAATAAAATACTGCAGAAGAAATGACCGGTTGGAAATGCAGCTCCTCCTAACGTTTTGGCAGGGAAGAAAAAAAATACTGTAGGAGGAAGGGCCGGCGATGGATTTTGCCGGCATTGTTTGATTCATGACAGCAGCGATATCTCCGGCGAGATGATGATGAGGCAGGTGGCGGCATCGCTGGTGTCGCCCTTGCTGGAGCCCCATTGCTGGTGCAGACATAGGAGGATATAACGCTGGAAGTTTTTGGATGGTTTGTGGTGATGTCTGGCCAAACTCCAAAACATCTTTGCTATCATGGTTTCTTGGGAGCTGTGGACAGAAGTGAGGTAAGATCCCTCTCGTGCATGGTCCGACGCTCCTACCAAAAGTAGAGGGCGGATGATGGTTATTTTGAACCAGATTTTAATACCAAAACCATACAACACTCCAGCATATTTCTCCGTAGATCCATTAAAGAAACACTCCTCCAACTTTCTGAAGGTGGCAGCAGTGAGCAAGCTATCTGATCCAGCTTGGTGGCACATACCTACCCGCTCCACCTCAAGAAGTTCTGCAAGCTTATTCAAACCACCATGGAGACTGTTGCAAAACTTTATCAAAGGCTTTACATCATAGACTTTCGGAAAATACAACCTCCTTCTCTGGCAGATTGAGGCATGTCAGAATTTTGAGGAGATAGCCAAAATCGTAGCCACTGTGGAAGGTGACCCAGTGAACTCAGTTTTTTAGGACGAGGACATGAGTAGCTCGGCAAAGCGGGGGACACAGGCACCTAGGCGACGGTTCTTATCAAAGTCTATGCCACTGCCATGGAGAAGCTGAATGGAATCAGAGGCATATACATCGTGCTTAGCGTCGAACTGGTGAAAGTTGACATGCCAGACACACTGGTGGGCTAGAGAACCAAATGTCAGGAGGTTGCCGCGAGCATCGGAGAAAGCGAGTCCGAGCTGGATAAGCTTGAGAAGGTCGACGTTTGTCTTTAGGGTTTGGTAATTGTAATCAGAAGCAGTGCGGAAGGCGCCGACGGGGCGAAGGGCAACACCGGGGAATTCGGTGTCCATCGCAACATAGGGGTAGTCGTCCACAATGGAGCGCATGAGGGCGAACTCATCCTCGAGGTTGGAATCCCACACCTCGCGGATCTCCACCGACTCACCACCGCTATCTGTTTTGCCTAGGTTTGACATCTCCAAACCCTAGATTTGTATGCAACGGGATGCAAAGACGAAGAAAAAGAGTCGTTTCAAATATCAAAATGAGTGTCTCTCCCTTCCCGCACAAAGGATGGTAGGAAGGGAGTCCGACAGTTCTGTAAGTAGGACCGGTGGCTAGAGTACGAAACTTTGTTCTGATACTATGTTGAAATTCAGAATAATGCGGAATAAAGTGGAATACTTTGTAATGCTTAATTATTTCATTGATATGAACTAGAGTATAAATAGCCTTTACATGAATACTATAATACGAAAAATAATAAAAAAAATGATATGAAAGGACAGATATATCACATGATATTTCTAATAATTAATTTATATTAATTATTAGGAGACATATGAAATAACATAAAATAGGAAAACAAATAATTCTTATTCCAAGGAATTAAATATAAAATAGGAAAGAAAATATCTTCTTATATTAAGGAAATAATTTATTAAGGAAATAGGAAATAATTTATTTCTCATAATTTCTTATAGGAATAAATTATTTCTTATTATAATTCTTAACATTAATGTTCAGTGATCACTTTTCTCCCATGCATATAATACATATTTTGACACTTTCAAATGGTGCACATCATTTTATTTTTTGAGACAAATTGTGCTAATGTTGAAGAAGTGCTTTTTTTGTCAATAAAGTAGGGAAAAAGCTTCATTTTTAGATTGTTTTTAAGACAAGTGAATTGAAGGTAACTTTTTGAAAACAGAAGCCAATATTCCTGTCCTTAGCTCTCGGCATCTGCTTATCATATTCTTTCACCATGCTTTTGGTTCAGGTTTGGTACCTAAGCTGTTCTCAACCCTAATGTCCTTATCATTCAAGATAAGCATAGTGTTCAGGATGATTTACATACATACCACTCAATTCTTATGTATTTACATATCTCATACCTATACTTCAATTTTTACATGTGTCAACTTACCTATGCATGAAAACAATAGTATTTTTGATGTGATATAAAAGATTTGGATGGTGTAAATGTAAAAAAGCAAATTTCAGGCATTAGATATGTAAATACATAAGAATTTGGTTGTCTGTCTGTAAATGCTTGTACTATTTATTGATCCGGCAAGCCTTCTTCAACCATCAATCTTTCATTCTTCTGAACTCTAAACCATCAAACTTCTGAATTCTAAAAATGTCAAAACTGAGGATCCTCAACTTCCAATACCAAGTACTGAAGAGACTCCCTGCACTAAGTCCTGCAAAATGGCTTTCTGCCAAAGACCGCCAACTCTCCGATCTCCATCAACACTTTCAACCCAACATCGATGAAATGCGACGTGTTTTCCGCAAGATCGACTTGGACGGAGATGGAAGGATCTCCATTGAAGAGCTCAGATCTCTTCTGAGCTCACTCAGGAGGAAAGATGCTGCAGCTGAGGCAGATTCGATGATGCGAGTCGCTGACCTGAACAAGAATGGGTTCATTGAATTTGAAGAATTCATGGAGGTTCATCAGAACGGGGTGACGAGGAATGAAATTAAAATGGCTTTCTGGATGTTCGATGAGAACAGAGATGGGAGGATCAGTGCTGAAGAGGTGATGTCTATGTTAAGGAAGTTGGGGTGGCGATTCGGTCTGGAGGATTGCAGGCGAATGGTGAATAATGTTGATAAGAGTGGGCTTGGATTAGTCGGGATGGATGATTTCATGGTCATGATGACTCGTACAATGAAGCTTTTGTAAAACTCTTTTAACTATGATCTTTGTGTAGTTTTTGGTTGTTCTGATTTACTACACCATTTGGCTCGAAAGGAATAATAGGTTTTTTAAAAATTATCAATCCTCTGCAATATTCAAAAGCTAACTTTATTTTGAAGACTATTATGTCTATCTTGCCAAGCATGTAGCAACTACAAAGTTCGTATAATGTATTCCATAGCAAGCTTTCCAAAGAGTGGCCTATGATTTATGGCTGCTATGAACATTATTACCCTTGTTTAGCAACATTCAAGAGCAAATAACTCTGATAACGACTGTTGATTGATTGAGTGAGCTATAGGCACTGATACTTGATAAGCCGAGAACATTTAGTTTGAGAGGGGGTGAGGATCAATGCATGGAGTCCTTGTATATATGAAGGAATTATTATAGCATATTCAAGTATTCGTTTAGTGCGAACACTGTATTTTTATACATATATATATATATATATATATATATATACATATATATTCTAGAAGTATCAAGTGATTGAATCATACCCAAAATTTTAAGATATTAATCTTAAACGAAGGGGCTGTTTGGCACCTGAAAAATGAGTGCAATGTATTCATTTGTGGAGGTTTTAAGAATTAGTTATTTGGTGGGTAGAATTATAAATACAATGTAAAATAAGAATGAATTTAGAGATTATTTTTTAGTTTTTTTTTCTCTGTATTGGAAAATCAGTAGATTTGGTTGAATTCTAGATGCAAAGTTCTATGTAAAATGGTGTTGCCTGCTATAATTGTTGTCATGCACCACCCGAAACCACGACCACCTTCCATCCGTTGCCCTCCCATCGCTGAAGACCATCATAGCCTCCCGTCGCTGCCTCTCTTGGCGGCCTATAATTTATATAAGATCTTGCATATTTTAAAACACATTTTTTTTATTCTACTTCAAAAGAATTAAATTAAAATAATTTTAAAATATTTAAAATATAATATATTATTTTTTATTACATTCATTTTCCGTTACATTACTTTTTCAGCAAAAGAAATAGCCTAATCATGAATTTATCCTCCTGAGATCGCGTAAATACCAAAATGACTCGGATTCGCGATAAATGCTGTCTATTTACGGAATGTCTCATTCCCTTATGCTGTCTATTGCTTTTGTTTTATCTTTTTTCATCTGAGCACATCTTAAAACCAAAGGATTTGGGCTTGAGAATTTTATGTGCGACGAAAGCTGTTATTTTGAAATGATGCCAAGTTACATTGTCAGCCACTATGGTTGTAAGAAAGTTAAATATGTTAATAATCATTAATTATGTTAAACGTTGTCTGCTATTTCTTGTATATGATGGGTTTTTGTTGACAGGAACGTATCTTTGACTGTAAAAATGGTTTCATGTTTTTGGTTTTTATAAATATAATAAACTGTATTTGTGATCACCTCTTAGAGTGATTTATTAGTATTTTTTGCAATTCCAAATTCACATTTTCCAATAATTTGCCATGCTCAAGTCGCTAGTTTTTATCTACGAGCTTTTCTTTCTTCTTCCCTTTATAGTTCTTTGTGTGTATATAGTATCCCCCCTCTAGTCCGCAAACATTTAAACCTTAGTCTGATTTATCATCGATATGTTTAGATTTTTCTAGTAATTTTGTTTCTTTCACATACCATATTTTCGGTTGCATCAATTGTTGTTCAAAATTAGGGAAACGGTGGCAGCTTGGTGGTGATGATATTCTCACGATCTACTGTTATGTTTTATGTTACTATTGTTGCATATTTAACTGCTATAGATGGAGAACAAATAATTTCTCGGCAGCATTCCTCATGATTCTTTTGTTTTTTTTTCTTTGCAATCAAAGATTAGTTGATAAATTACACCCCCGACACATAAAATGTGCCCCACAAACTCAACATGTGTCTGAAGGTACATAACTACACATACTTGAGTTGTGCAGTAGATAATTTGGAGCCAGGCATCATCACTCACAAGTCACTTGTTCGGTCTGAGCTCGACATCATATTTACACAGAAGGAACATATAAAATGGGCACCAACCCATTTGGCGAATCTTGTTCTAAATATAAGGCCTTAAAGTCTCCTCCACGTCATTCATTTTGAGTATATTAAAACACCACCTGTCCATGTTTTTATGCTATAGGTTGGAAACCTTATTAGCATCCCTTATGTCTTTGTTGGATATGCGTTTTTATATTTGAAAAGTAAAAATTAATAGATTAAAAAAGGAGTTGGGGGCGGGGGTAACCTCCATACCTCCTACCAGAGATAAAGCCCATATCCAATAATGTTTTGACTAGAAAGGCTAGTGGTGGTGAAGGTAGGTTGGGATGAGATGGGGTGAAGACATGTTATCTCTTCTCACTTTTTTTCTCTCTTTTTTTTTCACAATCTTATCAAGAAGAGAATAAGGGGAGCTCCATTAAATCCCTTACCTTTAAATTAAGGGGGTAGTTATGCTCTCCTCCTCTATAAATATTCTCTTATGAGTTGTAAAAAAAAAAAGAAAAAAAAAAAGAGGGAGGGAGAGCATGCTAGTGGATGATAAAATTCTAAAATAACAACTAACAAGATGGGGGAGGATCCTTTTTAGGTAGTTTTTTGCTTGCTTATCATCCCTAACCCTGATCGATGATGGTTGCACTCATGCTTCTCTTAGCATGGTAGGGAGGTCTAAATTATTTTAGTGTTCTGATACGTCTCGGCGCCAAAATCAGAAACAAACAACAACGAACGGTAATAGAAATGCATAAGAATCACAAACAAGGGCTGCTCTTACAAAAATTAAAGGAAAACAAGCAAGATACAAGATTAGTCTACTATTCGAGAGGTTGATCGTCTGTCCTACCCCCTAGACGCCGCTAGGAACACTATAAGAAAAAGAGAACAATAGTCACAACAAAATATGCATAAATAAAACAAATCCTAGGTTACTCCCATTAGTAGAATCCTCTCATAGTATTTCAAAAACTTTCCTTCCAAACTCTCTTAATTTCTCCTCCTCATGTGATTAAGCCCCACATGGACCCCACCTGCATCCGACTTTCCTCTCTTGTGGCAAATTGCTACTCGGGTGCTTCGCGTGAAAGGAATCAATGCTCGGCTACTTCACGTGAAAGGAATCAACCCACTTCTGCTGCAGGCTAGTTTGATAGCTTACAACTAGTCCTGGATGGACTTGTGTAGTTCAAGGTGTAACAATACTCATTTCCTAAAGAACTACCTTATTCTCAAGGTGGAAGGATGTAAATTGCTTGTGGATCACCTCGTAAGGCTCCCACATTGTTTCATAGTCTGGCAGATCTTTCCACTTAACCAATACCTCATTTACTCCCCCCACTCCTATCTCTAGAGGCTCCAGAATCACCTCCAAGTCTTCCGTTAGTGTCAGTGGTAGTGTAGATGAGGGTGTATGATCTCTAATCGCATATCTCAACTATGATACATAAAAGACCGGGTGTAGTGCGGACGGTGATGGTAACTTCAAACAGTAGACCACTGACCTGATGCGTGCCATCACCTCATAAGCCCCACAGTATTGTGGTGACAGTTTCTCGCTTCTCCTCTTGGCCAATGTCATATGTCGGTAGGATCTCAGTTTTAAATAGATCATGTCTCCTGATTTAAATTGCACCTCTCTTGTGTATGTCCGCCTTCCTCTTCAAATGTTGAGTTCTCAGTAAATACCCCTTGAGCTCTGCCAGTGTCCTGTCTCTCTCCTTCAAGTACCGATCGACGCTAGATACTGGTGCGTACTATGCCTATAATGTATCAAGTGAGGTGGATTTCATTCATACAATATGTTGAAAGGGGTTGTTTGTGTTGCGGTGTGGTACGAAGTATTATACCAATATTCGGCCCATGCAATCCACTTAGCCCATAGCTTCAGTGTATTGGATACAAAACAACGCAGGTATGTCTCCACTCTTCTGTTGATCACCTTTGTCTGCCCATCGGTGTGGGGATGTTATGCATTATTTTTATAAAAGACTCTCCCTTGCAACCTAAATGGCTTCTTCCATAAGTCGTTGAAAAACAGATTATCCCTATCTGATACAATCGATTCAGATATTCCGTGAAAATGAACCACTTCACAGAGAAACATCATCTCAACCGAGACTACATTATAGGGATTTCGTAAGGAAATGACATGTGCATACTTAGGCGATTCATGCCCACCATGATCACTGTGAACCCTTCTGACCGAGGCAACCCCTGATAAAATCCATCGTCACTTCTTCCTAAACTTTTCCCGATAATGCTAATGGTTGTCGTAACTCTCCTGGTACCGTGGTTAAGTACTTATGTCGCTGACACACATCACATTTTGCCACCATGTTCTTCACATCTCTGCACATCCCCACCAGTACAGCTTTGCTGCCAGACGATTGTGGGTCTTCTGCACTTTTGAGTGTACCCCAATTGCACTGCCATGGAACTTTTGTAATAATCTAGGAAATACACAGCAACTTGGGTAGTACGTAATGCCTATGGTGGAGCAGCTGATGTCCCCTTAATGCATATCCTGGAAGGTTATTCGGATCCTGTAGTAACTAGGCTCTTATCTTCTTTAGCTCCTCATCTCATTCACTTTCCTGTCTCAAGCTTCCTAATCTAGGACCAAGAGTACAAATAAGGTAGTTAAATAGGGTATCTCCTCATTTCTCGACAGTGCGTCAGTTGTCTTGTTCTTTAATTCTAGCCGATATTGAATCTCGAAATCATATCTCAGTAGCTTGGATAGCCATCTATGATGCTCCTCAGTCACTATTCGCTGCTCTAGAAGATACTTTAAACTTCTCTGATTTGTCCTGATCAAAATATATCTTCCCAACAGGTAGGGCTTCCACTTCTGAATGACCAAGATAATTGTCATTAATTCTCATTCATATACTGACTTTAGTCTCGCTCTAGTTATAAGAATCCGACTGAAGTAAGCAATCAATTTTGATCCTGCGTGAGCACAGCTCCCAATCTACAACAAATAGTTTACTAAAATCTGGAAGTGCTAATACTAGTACGCTAGTTATGGCTATTGTGTCATATGCTCAAATGTTTGTGTTGTTGTTTCCCCCTCATTTGATATTGTTTTTCTTCGATTGTTTCGTCAACGGTAATGCTAGCGTGTCATATCCTCTCACGAACTTCCGGTAGTTGCCCATGAATCTCAAGAATTCTCTCAACTCCTTCAAATTCCTTGGTAAGGGCCAATCAATCATAACCTCAATCTTGGATTGATCCATTGCTATCCACATTCTAGTCACCACATGTTCTACGCACTCCACATGTAACTGGGCAAATGAACATTTTTTTTCAATTTATCATACAGCTGGTGCTCTCTCAACGTCTCTAGGACTGT